CGCGGCCGCCTCCGGCCACAGGCCTGCCTTAGGCCACCTTTTCATTGATGGGCGCATGGAAATGCCTTAATTGCAAAGACTTCGGCTGCCTCTCTCAAGGTAAAGAAATTTTCCCTGGTCATGGAATTGAGAGCGAGGGCACGGATGCCGGTTGCACCTCCCTGGAGATATATCATCAGCTCTGTCATGATGGCAGGTTCCTAGCTCTTCCTCAGAGGCAGGCAGACTGTAACGAGTAAATAAGATAAAGTGAGAGACTGAAATACATGCAGGCCACACACAATTTGTTTTGTATTTTTCATATTGGAAGCCTGCACCTCCCGCCTTCACCCCCCTGCCTGCCTCCCCAGCACCGGTCCCTGGCCTATCACCACGCTGGTGGCCGTGGCAGCGTGGGCGCGATTCAGGGGCGGACAAGGGGGCAAAAATTGGTGAAGAAGAGAGCTTGCATGAAACAGGCCACTTGCTGATGCACGAGCCTGTAGCTGGTTACCTCAGGATTTGTTTTATGATTGAAACTGCGTTGGTTGAAGCCTGCAGTTTAGGTGCAGATGTGATGACTTCTCCCTGGCGTTACTGCACTGCTAGCAAGCCCCAAGGCTATTGGTATTGAGTCCCACTTACTTACGCTGGTATTGTCTGCTCTCCTACAGAGAAGGGCAGGGGGGAGTCTGCCAGTAAATAGCATTTTCATATGGCTATAAATGTGCTTATGCTGTTTGGGTTTGGAGTACCCTAGCAGCGCAGCTTTGCAGTGTGGGCAAGATCCCAGACATGAAGAAAGTCTTCCTCAGTCAGTCCATACAACCTTTGTCCTGTGTCTCAGCAAGTAGAAAATACTCAGCTGTGAGTCTCGATTACACTTACAGTGTCACTTTGGTGCCGCAATTATTTCAGCTAATTTGAGTAAGTCTCTCAAGAAAACGTTATTAAGGGAATTGAAAATTGGTTTGGTCTTGAGCAATGTCAGTACATCTTCCTGTTGGAGATTTTATCATCATAGCTGTGACAATATTTCTGCTGTTTTTAAAAACCCTTCTGCTTAACAGTGAAAGTCACATGTCCGAAAGGCTAGTAGTTGTCTTTATTTTCAAGTGTTAGCTTTCAAAATGATCACAGATGGCTGGAGTCTGTTCATATAGCTGCTTAATTTATTTTATGTGGTTTCTTGAGAAACTTACTTTTCTATTTCAGCAGAATTCATTGCAAAAATGCAACGGTAAACTGTGTTGGCAGAAGGAGATGAACAAGCTGGGATAAATACTTTTTAACTAATTGGAAATCTGACTAAGTTGTTTACTTTCCTAATTCTGATGCCTAATTAGTTAGCTTGTTCCATTCAATCATGCAGCATTGATAGCTTGATTGTGCTCCGGAAGTCTCAGGCTTGAGTAGTTATGTCCTAGATATCTAATGAACTGTTAATTTGAAAATAAAAACGTCCTTAATCATCTGCTCTACTAGTAATCACCTTCTGGACTGATACACAGTGCCAAAAGCACTGGCTTAAATTAGCTTCAAAACCAATCTCACTATGATTTAGATGCATGATTACATTACAGTAGGTGACCGAGTTATCCCTCACCAGCTTCACTGCAGTAGCTGTCTGGAGGCGTATCTTTAACCGGTCAGAAGCACATGAGAAAAAGTTACTACCTTGAACATCAGTGAAAGCTGCTGGAAACCAGCTCTCCCTTCCCATACGCTCTCTGGGTTTAGTTACTTAAGCAGTTCATCAGCTGGGTTTACTCTCACTTTATGTGGCCAGCTGAATTGCAAAACCATTCAACAAGAGCAGCGAAGACCTATGCAGCCACCTGGAGGGTTATAGCCTAGCCGTGTATCTGCCGTCACGTGAGAACTACTAACTTTTCTTCCTCCAGGCAGAAGAGGGATTTGACCCTAAGGCTCTTCTTGTCTGCAGTATGGACATTCTCACAGCTGAGCTGCTACACAAACAAGGGCACATGTCTGGAAATGACTACTATGCCGAATCTGATCTGTGAGACTAGGGTAAATTTTGTGACAGGTTCTAGGTCCAATCCAGATTATGTTTGCCCAATGTAGATGTATGCCGCCTCCTGCTTTCTTCCAGGACTTCCTGTATGTCTCGCTGCATTTCTCATTTCTTCAGCAACAGCTGACAGCCATATCACACAGACAAGCTGAGCAGGCACACTGCTGCCCCTTTACTTAGTTAAAAAACAAAAAAAACAAAAAAAACCCTCTCAGAATACACTTTTATAATTTCACCCTGCACAGCCTACTCTGGAAATAAGGCAGAGGGGGTTGCCTTGTTCTTAAAATTTACATTAGGGTTATCTGTGGTTAAAACAGTCGGTGCCCTCTACTCTACAGGATGAGGAGACATCCTCTAGAGGATGCAAGATTCATGTAGCAATGCAATGCAGTTTAAAAGCCCATTTCATTTAAAGCAGTGCATGTTACAAGGCAGGTAAGCCTCTTCCTTTTCAAGTGTAAGGCAGTGCTGGCTAAAAGAAGCCTTTCACTTCAGGAGTAACTACAGCATGAGGATAACAATGTACAAATTGAATACATCCACTTGGCACCACAACTTAAGACAGTATTTTAAAGCTAAGTTAGAAAATGTACACTTGCTTTTCAAGCTCATGAAAAAGTTGGTGAGTAGCATTGTTCTTGCTTGCTGCTGTACAAAGCTTTAAATGCACAGGACTTAAGTTTTACATTTACATAGCACTACTTTCCAGGCATCTCGCCACTGCTGCCTAATTCACAGCCCTGAAGCACATGCCAAAGCTCTGTACAGTATCTGAAATGATGTATTTAAACCTACAACTTCCAGGGGCATTTAAATTGGATCTTTAAACATTCATTTTTATGAACTAGAAAAAAATCCCTTTCTCACTCTTGAGGTTTTGACTATTTTTCATCTTTTAGACTTAAAAGTCTATCTGGATATGTCAGTCCCTGCCAAGATATCCCCCCCCCCCCCCCTTTAAGCTTACACCTCCATATTGAGGTGTTCTACAGTTAAGTAAGCCTTGAGAAAGTAACAGTAGCTTTTTCCCCTGGGGCTATCTTCTGCTCCCAACCAAGAACCAAATTTAGTTGTAAGAGCACCTAATTTCCCTCACTAGACAGAATGCTCTGCACAATGCGTAAAGCCGAGAGTGATCTCTAAACCCCACTGAGTGCTCTCCACTCCAGTACAGGTGTGGCTAGAGCCTCCCCATTAGCACCTGCAGACATCACCTTTTATCACTCAGAGACTGGGATAAATAGCACTTCACTTTATTAGTCACCTGGGCATATTTTTCAAAAGAGACTTCCATTACCTTAAATAGCAACTCTCTGCAGACTATGTGAGAATTAAAGTCAAAAACTATTGCCATGAAGTGAAAACACTTTATTTTTATAAAAGGAAATACTTAAAACAAACCCTACCAGTGTGTACATTGTACACATTTGAATGACACTTACAAGAATGAAGTTTTCATATACATTTCAAAGATAACAAGCCCACACTGGTTAAGGATGTACACAAGCACAAATTCAACTTCACAGATGCCTCAACTCCGGATCACAGTACCAATTACTCTAACCACACTTGCAAAGCATTTTCATTATTAGTATCCATGCTACTTTAATCCACTACAAACTGTACACAGAAAGCAAGAAGGAGTTTATTCATAGAGAGTATATATTCATAGAAAGGGTTTATTTGCTGGAATCATCTCTCACTCTTCTGTTGCCATCTTCAAGAGATATTCTTTGTCAATTTTGAAGAGCCTCCACCCCTCCTCAGTGGACAGATCAGAGGCCCCCCTTCTCTTGTAGAACCTGATGGAAGGCTCGTTCCACTCTGCAACGAGGAAGTGCATACTGCTGCAGCGGCACTTGACAGCAACCTGCAAGAGTGTGCAGCAGTACAAATTTAGAGCAAGTCTTCACTAAACCTAGTGGAAACTGGTGAAAGCACTCAGCAACTAACTGCATGTTGTCAAAGTTTTTAAAGCTCTGTCTAGCATCCTGTCACCTCCTTTAATAGGTCAGCTATGTTAATTCTGAGTACTGTTTAAGGGGAAACTCTCATGCAGTTAGAACAGCACTGCTTTGTCACGTGTCCTCAGTTCTGCTTTTTTAGACTTATGGCTTTGACATACCTGACTCAAGTTCTTCAGAATTTCTGACCCAATGCCAAGCCCTAACAAGGCAAAGAAAAAAGTTTCAGTTTTAGAGAAGCCCCTGTAACTCCTCATCTAGTGCCATAAAACCTACCTCTGTATTCAGCCATCACATAAAAATCTTCAAGATACAGCAGTTTTCCAATCCACGGATCATAAGTGAAATAGTACATGGCAAAACCCACGATGCTGTGTTCTGAAACAAAGGGTGCAACTTTAGCTAGTCTGAATTTAAAAGGCAACATATTAATTCAAGCCTTACATGCATGTTTAAATATAGTCCCTCTTTCTGTAACATGCAGCTGTTTGTTATCAGGTTAGAATTACAATTGAAGTTTGCAAATAAGCACACAACTGAAAATGAGTTCTGACAAAATTTTATTGACTTAATACAGCAAAGATTGCCCTCTTCATACCCTGAAAGCCTCAAGAGCAATGTTACAGTAAATACTGAACACTTAGACTTTTTTCTACAAATACACACCCTACCAATTTATTACTATTTCCGTTGTGGAATACAAGTCAAATTTTACACGGCAGTTCAGAATCTAGATTGCCCCAACTCTGCTTCCTTAGCGACCAGAACAGACTAACAGACTCTAGAGAGCACTGATCTTACAATTTGTATTCCTCAACAATTACTGTGCGAGAAAGGCATGCTTGCTGACCACATTTACAGCGGCATTTCTAACACTTTAAACTTAGGCTTGGCACTGATAGCATCATGCCCTTCTCTATCTCCGGCACCAGAAAATTTACCTACTGTAAGTAAGGAAAGCTGCTGCTTCAAATGTAATTCTGTGGCTCAACACAGAAGAGAAACCAACTCTTCCAACAGCAGCACTCTTGGTTCTAACTCTTGAGAATTAAAACCCTATCTGCTCTAATGCTCTACACATACTGTAGGAGAAGCGTGCACACAAATTTCTGATCTACCGTGTTTTTTGGTAAAGGTTTGGGAATAACACTTGTCCCTGTAGACCTTACCTCATATTATGATCATCTACTTTATTGTGTAACGGATCTTTTAGTTACCTCCCCGCCCATCCATGTACACAGAAGGGCCATGTACATGGCGAAGCTAGAGACTGTAACCTGAAGATTGGGGACAAATTGAAGAAAAAATGTGATTCAACAGAATTACATAAGGTAAGTTAGGGTCAAACAAAAAAAGCCATTTAATTAACTGGAATTAAAGTACATTATATTATACCTGATCTTCCCACATCTCCAGGATTAGTGACTACTTCAGAGAGCATCACTGTATGTTACTCCATTTTTAACAGTTAACCTAGTCCTCCTGCCCCAGTTCATTGGTGGAACCTTACGTACAATCAACAACATTCAGACATCTCTTGTGTATTGAGCATCAAAACACAAGCGGCAGGAAGTCTCACCTTCAGGCGACCACTGTTCTTTCGGCACTTCTGCAACAAGACAGTGGTAAAAAGGATGCTCGCCAAAACCATCCTCAAGCAGCTCTAGAAAAGGAGAAGAAAATTGTCACCTAAGCCACAGGTCTTGCCACTAGGCTATCAACCAGGTCAGCAGCTGCTGCTTGTATACCTTTCTCCGTCAACACCACTTGATCCTCCATGTCCTCGTATTTCGCTAGTTCCTGGAAGAGAAGATACATGTAAGCGGGCTGTCCCCGCAGGTCTCCCCAGCCGCCTCCTCATTGGCCGCTCGCAGCCTTGCGCAAGAGCTTGTTTTTGCCCAGAGAGAAGGGCAGCCGTGACATTCCCCCCCGCCCCCGCCCGCGCCGCCCCGAGGCGGGTC